TTGGAAAACGAAAATTTCAAAAAATTGACAAGAAGAACATTTTATTTTTATAGTTTTCTCTATGCTGAGCCATTTCGTAAATTTGAGTTTGAGTATTATATTATATTAAATGTAAAGTATTGAAATATTTCTATTTATCTCTAATTTAAATAGTTGAATCTTCAGTTAAAATATGGTCCGATCCAAATTTAAGTATACTTACAAATAAATTTTCAATCATTTCCTTGAAAACGAAATCAGATAAAACAATGTTGTTATTTTCGACTTATGTTTGCACGAAGAATTATTCATTGACTGGCTGCACTACTATTTCAAGAACATTTTGCGTTTTGGATTTATTTATTTCTCTCTTTTGTCAAATATAGTTCTGTGATTTGAGGAAATATATTCATTATCATGTTATTTATCCCTTAATAAAATTAGAAAGATTAGATTCTTCAGAAAATTAATTTCAAAGCACTGGCGTTGTAATAGTTATCGAAAAATGAAATGATACAAAATATAGATCCTTTTGCCAAATTTCTCTATGCTACCACGGAGTTCCATTCGAACCATCTTCTGCTATGTTTGTAGCAGTACACACTATTAACCTACCCGCATCATGCTCGTTTCACAATTTAATCAGCCGTTGAAAATAGGGTGGGGGAGAGATAGAGTGAAGGTACGTCAATCCACTAACGATCTAAATAGCCAATGCGAATGGCCACGCTGTATCGGTCGTTTGACATACGTTGACATGCCCAACCCTGTTTAATCTTTTATTTATAATACTTTTATTAAATTTTTCTGTCACTGAATGACTTAAAGGAAAGAAGAATAAATTTTCTAATAATTTCACGCGTACAGTCTATTTTAGTTGTAATGTTACAAATAGAGTCTACTTTAGTTGAATTCTTATTTTTCGAATATATCTCAATGTTCGAACGTCATATTGTCAGAATAGAATCTTTGTTAGTAGCAGATGAGCTTCTATTTTGATCTGATACTATAATATTCGAATATATATTATTATTATATTATATTACAATATAATATAATATAATATTTGAATATTTAGTACCATGACTTTCTTTATTTTACTCACAGAAATTTCTATCGGTTCATTTTCGTTCATACTTCATCAAAAAAAAAAAA